GTTTTCTTTTGTTTTGTGTTTATTTTTTTTTACCTCCATTTCCTGGTATCTGTAGACATGGGGGTACCAGCAAGTGAGTAGAGCCTTTTCGTGTACCCTCCAGCCATTGGTATATCTAGTTTTGTGCATTATCATTCACTTTCGTCTTAAGACTGGACTCTTTCTTTCTCCAGCATTGTTTATATGGCAAATCCATCCTGAAGTGGGTTGTGTGCTTTGTAAAAGTCACAGCTGGTGCAGGGGCTCTGTCTGCATATGCATGTTCTCACTCTACCCCACCGGGTGCCTGGGGTGCTGAACACTAGGTCTGGCAGCTGTGGGCACGTAGCAGCGCAGGGCTGGGTATTCCCTGGACAGGCAGGCCCTTCCCCTGAGGTTACTCCCTTGTGCTTGCCAAGAAGATAAATCTGCTGGGAAGAGAGAACCCAGGGCTTCAGGTAAGTGTTGCTGGGATCATAGGGAGAAAACTGGGCTCAGACCAGGGGCATCAACCCTTACTTGGGTTCATGGGCTGCTCTCGTGGGCGCCCATCCTCGGTGTCTTTGTGGGGAGCTGGCTAGCTTGGGGGTGTTTCTGTTATGTGAGTGGAGGTCAGGTATCCTTGTCTCCACTGAAGACACTGGAGCACTCCAATTTCTAATAACCCCAATTCACCTTTCCTCCATGATTGTCCTGGTTGCCTGGAAACACGGCCTCTCTTTGGAGGCAAGACCATGGAAACCACACACTCTAGGAGCTGCTGCTCCAGATGCTTCCCCGCAGGCACCTGTCCACGTTTGGGTCAGAATTTCTCTTGACACCGTCATGTTGCCTTTGGAGCACCTGTTGGCTGCCTTCCCTGGGCAGGCCGCCGTGAACACTTGACCCCTCTGTCCATACATGGACATAAAGGAGATGGAAGCATTTAACTACAGCTGTAAACATGGTCACAAGAGGAAAGGGCCCGACAATCAGTTAATGTTTTATTTTATTTTTAAGATTTATTTATTTATGCATACAAAAGCTGAGGCACAGGGCAGAGATGGGGGGTGAGAGGATTCACCAGAGACAGAGCGGGGAACAGAACAGGCAGACTGACCAAAATACACTGCTGAAGGGAGCAGCCTGCAAGACAGGAGAGGTCTGATTTGCTATGTGGGTGGCTCTCTGGCAGGCCAGGGATCGAACACTTGCTGCAGAGGCTTTGGATTGCTTCATAGTGCAGTGCTTAACCCCTTGTGCCACCAGGGAGGCCCATGAGTTAATATTTCATATGGTCATCCCTTTATGGGGAATTAAGTGGCTTCAAATTTCCCTTCAGGGGCAAGTCACCCTAACTGAACCTGTGGACTGCATCTTGTGTAGCAGCTGGAAGTGCCATGTTGAGTCGCAAGGGGGATGAAGCAATAGCTGTGGGGGGCCCAGGAGGTGGATCATCCGCTTCCTTCTGGGCCCTGTCGTGGCCTTTATGCCCCAACACTGGCTGGCCAGGTCAGGTGTCCCTCCCTCCCACGCTGTACTTACTGCCGTGTCGGGAGAATTGTGTGTGCAGTGGGCAGGACTTTGGGGTATGTCAGACGATCTGTGTTCACTAGGGAGATGCCCAGCATGTGAGGCTGTGAGGCAAAGGGGGACCTCCCTCCAAACTTAGCCTCTTTTCCCTACCGATAAATTCAGCTTTACCAAAAGGACCTCAGACTGGGTGTTTAGGCCACAGAGGCTAATTTTCACAGTGTGGGAGGCTGGAAGCCCAAGATTGAGGTGCCACCACTCGGGCTCTGGCGAGGGCCTCTTCCTGTGTGCACACGGCTGGCTTCTTGTTGTGTCTGCCACCAGACAGCAGAGAGGTCGAGCAGTTGTCTGGGGTTCTCTTCTGAGAGCTGGTACTGTTACATGAGGGCTCTACACTCAGGGCCCAATCACCTCTAGAGGGTGGGGCCTCCTGGCACCACCTGCAGGTTAGGACACTGCGTTGGAACCTTGGGGGCCCAGACACACAGTCCAGGGGTGTAAGTGATCCCGGGTGGGCAGATGCTCAAGAAAATGGCCCGTGGGCCCTCTGCATTGCACCCAACTGCCCCTCACTGCACCTGGCACCTCTGTGCCCCTACACCCGCCAGCAGGCAGCAGGAGATGTTTTGGGAAACTCTAGATAAAGGGGCTGTGGGAGGAAATTGTTGCGCAGAGCAAAGTCTCAGAGTCGGGGGGGGGCTCCCTAGTCTGGTGACTGTTTCCTGGGGCTTCCTCCATGGGCAGCCAGGGAAGCGTAAGGCTTTTAAGTCTCCTCAGGACAAGGCAGCTATTCTTCCTGGGGGCAGCGTGGGGGCAGCAAATGAAAACCCTCTGTGACCTGACTGCTGGGGACCTCATGTCCCCAGCAAGCCAAAGGGCCAGGGCCGAGCTGGGGATGACTTGCTTTCCCCCACAAGACAGGCCCCGGACCACTATGCTGGCAACTGTAAAGAACGTTTGGGTTGTTGTGCCCAATCCTCCTCGTGTGGGTGACATTTGCCCCAAGGTCAAGGGTGTTTCTCTCCCTGTCCCGGACACCACCTCTTAAGACCAACCAGCACTGCCAGCACATGTGCTGGCCCTGCAGGACTGTCATGTGTCTGCAGGTGACCCCACTACTCGCTGTGGCCTTCCCTAATGGCTCAGCAGACCTGGCCTGTGGGCCAAATGCCGGCCCTGGGGCCAACGAGCCCCCCGGGCAGGGCCAGGCCTGGCACCCGGGGGCACTCAGTCTCACCATTTTGCTCAGAAGATGATAATCTTGTGTGGAAGGACTTGCCCAGCCTAGGATCAAAGCTTCAGAAGTACATTTTACCACCCAAAGTTGGTGGGCAGGGAATGGTGGGCAGGAATCGGGAACAGGGGGTAAGGTAAAGTGAGATCCCAGAGAGGGTCTGGCACCTGGAACAAGATGCCCATCAGCCAGTGAGCCACGCCTCACCCTTCCCTGCCCGGCTAGACCTGCTTTCTAACTTCTCAGTTCGGGGACAGCTCAGATTTGAACATCTAATACCCTCCCCTACTTCCCGTCAGAATATTTCTCAGGGGATGAAGATGGGTGGGGCGGAAAGAGCACTTGGATTGTCACCTGTTACCTTGGTTAAGGGGCTTGGAGACCAGCTCTCATGCTGGTGAAGTGTTTCTGTCCATTGATGGGAGGACGGGTCCCTGAACCGCTTGATGGCCAATCTGGGGCTCCCCTGCCTTACCCCCCACCTCATCTGCTTTTACAGGAGACATGTTCCAGAAGAGCCTCTGCCTGCACTTAGCCTGGGACCTGTGTGCCCTCCTGCCCTGGGAGCCCCATGGGCCCAGAAGACCTGTGGAGAGACAGGGAGTGTGCAGACTTGCTTTTTGAGGTGTGTGGGTCTCTGGATCCCCTTGGTGCCTGGCTCCCAGCCTAGGGTACCTTGTGGCTTGATGTTCTCTGGCTTCAGACACTCTGGCCAGTGACTTGTGACTCACCTGCCAGGCCTCTGGGCAGGTAAGCCATCTGATTTCTGAGAAATAATTGTACACTGCACACTGCCGCTGCTACTCATGCCCTGCTGGCGGGGACTGGCTTTCTGAATACTCTCACTGTAGAGCCCCTGCTGGGGCACCATCCTGTTCATAGCCACCCCTCTGTTGTGGCTTCTCCCTCCCCTCCCAAGCCCTCAACTTAGGTGAAACCAGCAGGCCAGGAGAAGAAAGGAAACCAGCAGGCCAGGAGAAGCCACCCCCCCAAAGAGTGTCCTCAGCCCCCCCACAGAATCACTATGTCCCCGTGCCTCTACACCCCAAGCCAAGGACCGTGGTAGTTGTGTGCCTGCGTGCTGATCTCAGGCCTGATGTTCCCGGGCCACTCCAGAGATCTCTGCCTGCCTCTCCCTGGCCTGCCGTGTAACCTGCCTCCGGGTTAATCTCCCCATGGGTGAGGAGGTGCATCTCAGGGAGTCACCTTAGCTCCCCATGTCTCCTAGCTGGGACAGAGCACAGTGATTGGAAGTGACCACCTAGTGAGGGCCCTGGCCAGCTGTGGCTGGTGCCTACAGAGACCCCAGAATCACACTGCAAATGGGCTTGTAGCCGTCCAGAAGATGGGGCTGTTTCCCCTCTTGTCTGCAGAAGATGAATGTTAACCCTCTTCACAAAGTTGCAGTCAGTCAGTCATTTCAGAGCAGGTGCAGGAATGGTTAGTGACACTGGAATGTTCATGCACAAGGTTCATGCCCTTTGGAGGTGAGTTGGGTTTGCATCCCGCCTGCATGACCGATGTTGCCTTTGCTTGCTGAGCTGCACGTCTGCGCCAGACCAGGGGTGGAGTAGCCCCAGCGTCCATGCCAGACAGGGCAGGTGCGAATCACTGTACCACAGAGGATGGGAAACTTTGTGCCCTGTGGCGCAGGCTTGGGGAAAGAAAGGTTTCCAGGGACAAGCTAGCGAGGTGACAGACACAGAGTCAGGGTCTAGAGGCTGCCTTCACCCTTCCAGACAGAAAGGGGACACGGCAGCTGAGTGCCCAAAGCTGTCCCCTGCCCTGTAGCTTCCAGTCACCAGAGAGCCCGGCTGATTCGCACAGCCAGAGCCACACGCCCCGCTCAGGGAGTGTCTGTCCACATCTGGTGGGAGTTGTGTGGCTGTGCCTTGCTGTGCACTGCCTGTGCCTGGAGAATGAGGCATGTGATTTGGGTCTAGCCCCTTCCCTGCAGTTCCCTGTGACACTTAGCCCATCACTTTCTTCCTCTCAGGGAGCTTGGGGGCTTTAAGAAAACTGTTTTTTTTTTGCAGGTGGAGAGTGACTGTCGCTTGGATTTGGGGCGTGGGATCCTCTGTGTCCCCAGGAGCGGGACCCTTGGGGGGAGTGCTGGCATTGCCCGCCCCCCTCAGGCCGTGGGGAGGGGGAGGGTGTCAGGCTGGAGTGGCAACCTGATGGACCTGCAGCCACTGCCCCCTCACACTGCTTCCAGCCTCAGTGGCTGCTCCTTGGTCCAGCAATTGCTGCTGGAGAAGCAGAGGGCCCCGGTCAGCAGCACCCAGAAGCCAAGGAGCTCGAGGAGAACCTGGACCTCCGCGAGTGCATCGTCTTCAACACCCAGACCAGCTACCTCGGGGAAGAGAGCCTGGCCGACTGCGAGCACATCGTTAAGATGAAGTGGCTCTGAGCATCGAGCAGCGTGAGCTGAAGGACAAGATCCTCCTAGGCGAGGAGCCGCTCAACTGCTTGTTCTCGGGCCTTCAGCCCGAGAGAGGCCAATGGGCGCCTGTGCGGCCCAGGAGGGACTCAGCGGGGCGCCTCCCCGGCGCCGTGACACCCACCTGCGGGCACAGACCCCTCCGGTGCCCACGCGCTCTGAGAAAAGCAATAAGCCCCCTGGTGTTTGGGAAGACGTGGTGTCAAGTTTTGGTCCCCTGGTGCGGAGCAGGCCGCCGGGCCGCTGTTCCCCGCGGAAGGAGAAATTCAGGGCAGTGGCCTCTGACGCACCTCCTGGAAGCTGCAGCCTTTGCAGGTGGTCACCGGGCAAGCGGGGCATGGGTGAGCTCCGAGTCGCCCCCCGAGGTGGCTGGAGTAAAAGGACCTGGTTCCAAGTGTCTGCTGATAAAGCGCGGCCGCCTATTTGTTTCTGAGGCCCGGGCGCTGTTTCTGAGCGCACCTTCCCACCAGGACCTCGTTCTGCGTGGGGGTGGCCCTCGAGGCACATGGGTCTTCGCTGTGTGGGCTCTTCTGCCGCTCCGCCTGCGGCAGGGCAGGGGCCTCCCTCGGGGTGCTCAGGGACGCCTGGGCCCTGCAGCCGCTGAGCTTACCACGCGCCGGGCACTTGGCCCTCACGTTGATTCCCCGAACACCAGGGCCCGGCCAGCGGGAAGGGGCAGGCTCGCGGGGAGCACCCGCAGTAGTGCGCGTGGCCGACTTCCGTGGGGAGCCCTGGAGGCCTGCCCCGAGTGGCGTGGGAGCCCTGAGCGGAGGGTGCGGGCTGCCTGCTGGCCAGGTTTGACCCCGCGCCGACGCGCTGGCGAGCGCGTCCCTCCTCGGATGAGTGCTGGGTGGTCAGCGGCGAGGACGCCGGGGGCTTCATCTTAAGGCGCGCCAGTCAGACGCTGGTCCTAGCGGGGGTCACTTGCCGCCTCCTTCCCCATGGCCCGTGACAGAGGCTGCCCGGCTGGGGGCGGGGTGCCGCTCTCAGCAGTGACCACTGCCTTCCCAGCACAGGACTGTGGCTGCACCCCCGGGCCTCGCGCCCACCCAGGCCGCCGCAGTGAGGGGTCAGGAGCGCAGGCCTCTGCCGCAGGCGCCTCTCCTCCAGCAGAGAAAGCCCTGCCGGGAGTTTATATTCCTTTTAAATTAAGCTGTTTTGGTCTTGGGAAAAGTGCTTATTCTGCCAGTGGCGTGACCCCTCCCTCCCACATGATGTGGCCACCTGCTCTGAGCAGGCCACCCCAGACCTCGGTCTCTCTCCACTGTGGAGTCGACCCCAGGAACGTCGATGCATACTGTTTTCAGTTTACACCAGCCTTTCATCTGTGACTCTGCCCACGCCAATGCAGTATTGTGCTCATTTTGATGATGTGTATGTAAAATGTGAATAATGGGATCTGTGCTGTGTCCGTTGATGTCCCTTCACAACTTTCTCCTCCGTGCGCCTATAGACGGCGCTCTGTTACCCCTACCCTGTCCAAGCTCAACCCCAACCCTGTCCATTCCCGAGTGCGTCTCACACACCAGCTTTTTGGGAGTCCAGAGCTTCCTGGGAGTCAATGTACGTAACTTTGTATATACTGCTCTAGTGCACACAATAACAGCCTGTGCTAATGTTAGCCCTTGGTATTCTCAGGTGGTGGCTGTTGGCCCACCCTCTTTGATGGCCAGTTCTGGAATGCAGGGTAACAAGAGTCAGGCAGCTTTTGTGGCTCTCATCCCGCAGTCACCGTGCAGAATGTGTTCCAATCTCATGCTCATCACTTACCACTTACCACTCAATAGTCCATCCTGCTTGACGTTCTCAAAATAGTGTCTCTGAATGAAGCACATCTTTCATGTACCCAATTTATGTCATTTTTAAAGGACTCAATTATGCTCCCCATCGTCAGATTCTTGTCTAAGTGGCTGGTCAGTTGGGGGTGCAGGTGGCTCTGTAACTATGCCCCAGCGTGGCCGCATGATATCTGGGACATGCTGCCCTGTGCAGTGGGAAGCATGGACTTAGCTGAGTGCCAGACGTGCACTCTGCTCTGCGCTGGGCAGGGACGCTCAGCAGCAGACACAGCAGGGAACCCACTGGTCACTATGCACATCTACTCTTGGGATCCTCCCTTCCATTGCCAAGGTGGGTCACATGTCCTAACACGGACACCCTACCCCTCCTTTTCTTTCTCTTTCTATGAAAGCTCTCTGATTTTTTCTTTCCTTAGGATGCACTTTACGATAAGCTGAAAGGTGTAAACCAAATTATAATTCTCCGCTATTACAAGCGAAGAAATGAAAAAAAAAATGCCTGCTAACATTCAAACACACAGCATATATATGGATCAATTAATCTGTGACAAAGGAGTGCTGTATATACACTGAAACAAGTAAAGCATCTTCCATAAATGGTGCTGGTAAAACTGGTCTGCCACATACAAAAAATAAAATTAGGGTATCCCTGGTGGCACAAAGGGTTAAGAGGCAAATTATGAAGCTATCTGCAGCCACTGGAGCACATGTTCTATCCCCTGCAAGGGAGCCACCCACAAGGCACAGTAGACCTCTCCTGACTCACCTGCTGCTGCCCTCATCAATGTATTTCAGTCAGTCCACCTGTGGCCTGTTCTGTTCCTCACTCTGTCTCTTGTGAATATTCTCCCCCTGCCACACTCTAGCCTATACCTCAGTTCTTGTATACATAAATAAATGAATAAGTAAATCTAAAAAAAAAAAAAAAAAAAACTAGACCACCATCTCATAGAAGGTGTGTAAATTAATGCAAAATGGATAAAATGCATGGGGTAGAATCAGAAATCATGAAATATAAAGAAGAAAACATAGGCAATACTCTCATGAAACTTCAGAACTAGCATTTTGAGCAGCAAGGAAATCGAAGGAAAACATAAACAATGGTGACTAGATGAAACTGAGAAGTCTACTACAGCATAGGAGACAGTAACCATAATGAAGAGATTTCTAATGAACTGGATATAATATTTACATACCTTACATCTGACAAGGGACTGATAGTGAATATCTATGAAAATCATAAAACTCAACAAGAAGCATACAAACAACCTAATCAAAAAATGGACAGAAGAACTAAATGGGCACATATCATTAGGGACATTCAAATCAATATCACAATGAGATTCCATCTCACATCTTACATAAATAAATGAATAAACAAATAAAAAATAAAGAAATTTATTTATTTTTTTAAATATTTATTTATGCATTCAAGGGTTGGGGTGCTTTGCATAAGAGGTGCAGGGGGTAAGAGGATTCACCAGAGAGAGAGTGGGGAACAGAACAGGCAGACTGACCAAGTACACTTCCGAGGGAAGCAGTGGGCAAGTCAGGAGAGGTTTGTTACTTAAAACTTGCACCACCAGGGAGGCCCCAATAAACAGAAATTTTGAAGAGCTGGCAAGTGTATGGACAAAAATAAGCACAATTAAACCTTTAGTGGAAATGTAGGTGGTTCTAGTCCTTACAGAAAGCAATGTGGAGAGTCTCAAAGAATAAAAATGAAACTTGCCCTGCAATTCAGCAATTCACACACTTACATAGTCACCCAAGGAACACAGACATTATAATTCTGCGTTCAAACATGTGCTCCTAAGTTTACTGCAGCACTACTTACAATAGCCTAGATACGGAGACAAACTGAAAACCCAAAATCATTTTAAAATTTCAAGAAGATGTGATATATATAGGCTTACTGGAGTATTACTTGGTGGCCAAAAAAGAGGAACTCAAGTTGTTTGCAGCAACAAGGATGAGTTGGAAGGTAATAGTCTGCGGAGTATATCGGGGGAAGAATGGCAGGCATTTCTTGTCCTCCCACTGCACATGCACACTCAGCCAAATGGCATGGCACCATGTGGCATGGTACCATGTGGCATGGTGTACATGGTATGGGGTGTAGGTGGCATAGTGTGGCACAGAGTGGTGTGGTACCAAGGACGAAGGAGTGGTGCGGAGTGGCAGAGCACTACGGGGTATGTCGATGACTTAAAGTGGAGAGTATGAAGACACCAACAGGCATGATAGAACCAGTAATGGACCTACCCAAGATGGGTTGGTTGTGTGACATTTGGCATAGAAGGCAGGATGGTTCAAAGCAAGATTGCTCAGTGCAGACAGTTATGGAACTCTTTGAAACCTGGAGAGGGATTCCTGGGTGGCCAGCCACAAGAAGATGGTACCTGGTGGACAACCTCCTCTCCCAGTGGGCACTTCCCCAGAAATGGCCATAGATAGATGGATCACCGGTGCAGTTGCTTCAGACCCTATATGAAATAGAAGAGATCCTGGAGATACAGTGCCTGTGAGGCAGCAGGTTCTGTGGGATGGGTCTTTCCCATAGCTCTGTGAGAGTCCAGGCAGAAAGAGTGATCCACAAGATGCGGACACTACAACTCTGTTGGAGGATTCTGGAGGAAGAAGTTCGGAGAAACCAGCCCACCATTGCGGAGATGCTAGACCCTTCCCCAGGAGAGGAGGAGAGGGAGACTGGCCCTTTGCCTGAGTCTTAGCCAGTGGTGGTAACCCAACCTGCCACTCTGGAGAGGCAGACTCCTCGGAGAGAAGGAGAAGGCTGGTCCCAGGCTCCAGGCACACGCAAAGGTGACTCAGAAGATGAAGAAGCAATGGCTCATGGCCTCAGGGGGTGAGGCTGCTGGACCACCACAAATGAGGGAATTTACTACCTACCAACTTTACACACAGGCGGACCTGATAGACTTGGGTAAACAGTTCCACCAGAAACCAGGGAGAGCCTCCCTGGTGACGCAGTGGTTGAGTGCTGGGTTGTGAAGCTGCCTGCAGCCTCTGCAGTGCCAGTTCGATACCCGGCCACTGGAGGAGAGTCCCGCATGGCGTGCAGACCTCTCCTGCTGCCCACTACTCCCCTCAGCAGTGTACCTCGGTCCTGCTGCCTGCTCTTCTCTCCCCGCTCTGGCTCTGGTGAATTCTCTCACCCTCCCGCACTTCTGACTGTACCCAGTGCTTGTATAAATAAACAAACAAATAAATCAATCAATCAATCTTAAAAAATAAAAAGAAACCAGGGGAACCTTTGGCAGCCTGGCTGCAGCATTTGTGGGACGTGTGGGTGGATGGGATTATCTGCACGGCAAAAGAGATGGAGAGACTGGCCTCAGTGACTTTACACCCATCCTTGAGGCAGAGGCTGCAGAACAGTCGGCGCTATGGCCAGGGTGACCACACCCTGCTGGAATGGATCATGGCTGTCATACGAACAGTATGGGCTGATGCAGGACACTGCCGGAGACCATGAGCAGATGGCAGACACATGCAGAGCTGGTACAGGTACTTAGGGAATGGGGGATGTAGAAGGCCATGTTCAATGTGAACACTCGTGGTCTTGACGATGAGCATTTCACAGCACGGGTGAGAGATTTGGTATTAAAGAGTGCCCCCTCATCTTCATTTGGATCCCTCATGGCAGTTCTAGCCCACTATGTGGGATGTCAAATACATGATGTCACAACCATGATAGCTTGCCGGGGACCAGCCTCCGGCAAAATGTCATTTCAGGGGTTCCTGAAAGCATGAGACGGCCTAAGCGACTTGTTAGGGGCAAAAGGGAAGGGAATTAGGTAGTGAGGAGACACTGACACTGGATGAGGTGCAAGTATCTTCTGCAGAAAGACTCAGCAGGTCTTTATTTATTCATTTTTAGTAATCAGAAAAATTACATCATCATGTGCAAAGCAGAAACAATTAGTGTATTATACATGGACTACTGGCTAATACAGGTCTCAGCTAAATGGCAGTCTTCAAAGTTAATAGATAAAAAAAAACAAACCTAACAGTAAAACTTACTATTTCATCTAGACAATTACCTAAGATAGTTGATAGCCGCCAGT